TTGTAAAATTTCGTAAATTGTTCATGTTTGTAATTTTTATTTTAACATAAATATGTTTTTAGGCGGGGTACATATATTTTATTTTTCTAACCAATTTTTCTAACGCTTTGTTCATCACCATAGGAACGAATAAAATGTAAAACTACCTAATTTCCACTAGATATATAATATATAATTAATGGTTACTTATTAATACATATTTGTGAATCATATATTTTCTTTGAAGTTGAAAATGTCGAGTAGCGTGCTACGTGTATGTCACACAACCACCATTTTTTGTAAATACCTATGTAACACTTGCATAATCTTTACAAAATATATAATACAATATCTAAATGATCGTGCTATAATATATCAATTTATTCATGTCTAGAAAAACAGTGTGTTACAGGTGTGTTTGAAATACACAGTGGGGGGTTAAAAATGTTTTTTCTCAGTTTAATTTAAGTTCTAAATAATGAGGATATGTATAATTTTTAAATGGTATTTAATTTCAACCGGCGATGAAAAACAATAACTACATTTACAGTGACCAAATTTGAATTTAAATAATATATCATGTTATATTTTATGTTAATATGTTCTATATGCATTGTAAAATATGTTCTTTTAAATTAAAGGAAAAATAATGTGGAGTTATAAATTATAAACAATTTTGAACCGACCAAGAAAGAGAATATTAACTAAGCAAAGTTGTTTATCTACAGATATTCATGCCAGTTGCCACTGTATATATTATTATAACTACCTATTACCTATGGTCCACATTCATGAATAAAAAATATATGTTACGAATTTGTCTATAATCACGATGAACTAAAAAGAATTCACTTTTCCTTAGAATATTTCAGTGCTTTAAAAGAGATGTAGTTATAATATTGTAATATTTTTATTAGTTGTCCATTTTAAATTCGACGTATTTTATGCATATAAAAAACAAAAACAATTAAGGGAAAAGCGCTCTATATTTATACAAGCATGCTTATACGTAGGTGGTACACTGGTACACACGTCACACTTTATGATTCTAAAATTAAATAAATAATTTATGTTATAATAAACTTTAATAAGTTTGAAGTCACCTATATATAGGCTAAAATGTATAACCGTAAACTATGATAAAGCGAGACACGTTTAAACATCTTTATATAGGTACACTTTTGTTGGCTGCGTTTAGAACATATTTACAGTAAAATGATAAGTTTTTGTGAATTGCATTTGCAAATCAATATGTATACGTGTATAATATATATATATGAGAAAATTACTATGGCTGTGAGCTATCGTATATTTTTTGGATGTATCTAGAACTCTAGACATCATGGAATACCTCCAGGTCAAAAAATGTGATTTTGCCAATGTTTTAGGTAATAATAAGAAAAATGATTTTAACTAATACATTTATTTTTTACTTTAAGTCAAAATAAACATTTAAATTCAAACTTCAAATTTGTATATCCATTATTTTACACCAAAGTCTAGAATCACTTTTTTCTATGAACGTAAAAATTACACACGCCATACTTACATCGCTTTTAGTAAGCAACCATCTAATAATATTTATTTTAGTTTAGAAAAACTACTTGTATATTAATAAATAATTCGTAAAAATACCACACTTTTTGTCAGCAGTGGGTCGTTTTTTTTGTGTTATAGTGCGATACCTAGCCTAAACTATCCATATATCATGCCTTTATAGTTTATTAGATTATTATTTATTATTACTTAACATACTAATTTTATTGTTATGAGGTGTATGAAAAAGATTATTTGATGCATTAGGTTCATTTAGCATCATTTAAATCACACGTGTAAAATACTAAATCGGGGAGGTCCATTTAAATTTCAAATTAAAGCTGAAAGTTAGTACAACTTTTACCGTGCAAATCATATTTATTATTTTATTCTAAATATGTATTAATTTAGTACTTACTTAATAACATTATTACATTGTTTTATGCTGGTGCCTAGTGATTTTTAACTTACTAAAAAGTATAAAAAATTATTATTATTTATATTTATTTATATTTATTTATATTTTAAGAAAATTGTATTCATAATTTGTTCCAGCTATACCTATACTACAATACCAAAAATAATTGTTTCTAACAATAAATAAATTTCATTGTGAAAATATAATTTTTATTATTGGTTATTAACAAAAAAATATAATAAAAGCCAAAGGTAAACAAATTAACCAAATGATTTTACCAACAAAATGTTTATCTAGTTGTTGTTAACACGCAATTTAGTTTAAATATAATTTTAGTAAAAAGAAAGAGGACAAATTACTCTGAACATTCTTGCATCCTTAGTAGAATCATTGAGAAAGTGGGACATAATTGTAGTAGTTTGGCCACTTCCCTTAAAATACGTCTAGGCAACTTAAATGAAAAAATATTTTTACATTAAGTTTATTTAATATAATAATATATTATATGGTATTAGTATATTACGATAAATTAATAAATTATAAAACAAAAGAACTTATAAATTAGACACTTATATAATAATCAACATCAACATTATCAACTCATCGTTTTCTTAGTGACTAAAATGTTTGGATATTGTGATAATATTATTAGTAGATATTTTATTGTTTATAGATTTAAGTGCCATTTAACTATATTTTAAGTTAAAATACTTTTAAATGTTTAGTTGAACGTTATACACAGTCAAACGTATTAATATCAATTTAAAAACTTAGTCGGGTATGAAAATTCCCAATGGAGATTGTTAAGTATGATTGTAGTTATTTTAAATTTGTCCAGTCGCCTAAAAAAAATCATTTTGAATAGAACTAATTTATTTCATCTAGGTTTACATTTCGTGTTAAAAGCTTATACAATATCGTGAATCGTGACTTTTGATTTTTGTAATATAATTCAAAACGGTTAGTTAAAATTAAGTATGACTAGTATGAGACAAGTTAGTACTTATTAATTTGTAATTATTATTATTAATTACATATTAATATTGGGTAGGTATGTATGATATGTATCTACTATGAACCTACTCTAGAATACAATATCCATAGTTTATATGCTTATCTCATTAATGTCATTTCACATTTACTCATTTACAATTAAAATCAATGATTATATATAATATATATGTACCTACTCTAATATTAACAGATTTACTTAGTACTTACTAATTAGCACTTTTAAGTCTTAATATATTGTAAACAGAAATGTTTTATTTTTTAATCTGCCTTGTTTCCTAAATGCATATAAAATTATGTATAAAACTACATTACTTGGTTTATACATAATATCTTTTGTGTTACAATAACATCACGATTTGTTAATTTTTTGAATAAATAATGGCATATTGTATATAGCTAATAAAAAATTGAAAAATTTATTTTTTCATGATCTAATTGTATTGCTAACTATTATAGAGATTTGAAAATTGTATATGTCTTATTAGTTATTTCGCTCATATTGGACGTTTCGAAGTATAGAAAACTACTCGTGACTATCAATAACAGCTAGTAGATAGGTACCTATTTATATGTATGTATTAGATTTGATTGTGTACCTATATATATTATATAAAACCATGTTCCTTATTTCTAGATGTTTTAAATACATTATATAGTTCAAATATTATATTTTTTTTTTAGAATTATTCTTTTATTTATGTTTTTGTCGAAATAGAACGAAAATAATATAATGTAAAAACAAAATAATATTAAACTATATACATTTCAATGAAAGCATCTATAATTTTGTTGCCTTAGTTAGTAGAAATAAAAAAAAAACAAGAAAAAAATGTAAAATTTATACATTGACGCTTAACTTCAAAAGCATTTCCGGAATTGATCAGCATACCTTTCAATGTTTCATAATAATAATAAATTATTAAACCTATATTTAAATATATTATTGTAATAATATTATTAAAATTTTACAATTAAATTATACGTCTTCTTCAATGATTATAAAACATAATGATAATGATAACAGCCGTTACCACCTCAATCAATATTATTGTGTTATTATACATTTTCGTAACAATCTCGAATTGATGAGACAACTTGTCTACATCTTTGTCTTGACCTCTTCTGAACGATATTATGTGTATAGAATCTATAGGTACTATAGATATATTATTCGGGGACTACCTTCATATAATAACACTTCTTATATCTTATGTACACACACACACGTCTTAATTCTTAAACGTTTTCGAGCTTTCTCCGAGACACACACACATACATTTGCGCGTGTCTGTAATTCTTCTTTGAGCCTATCAGCGCCGCTCATCGTCATTAAACATACCTATATGCACTTATATGTATATAATATTATGATATTCATTGTATGCTATTGTTTTTGGGATCCATGATGCAGCGGATGCAGCGTGCAGTATGTACGGCCGATTAAAACCAATATTATATACTGAAACCGAATAATAATAATATATTATTAATAATAATGGGAATTTAACCGGTGTCCAACTACGATATCAATGAGCTGGAATAAACTTTAAATAAAAAAAAAATCACAGCAATCCTGGTGCTCTAAACGAGTATTCCAATTAATGGTCAACACAGAACCAGTTTTTTTTAAAGAGGCCTCCCGAAAAAATAACATACACACCAATAATATTCATAGACAAATACCATTAATTTCATCCTGTTCGTTTCCAGTTCTCATTTAAGGCACTCCGAAAACTAGGTCAAAGTGTACCTATACATTTTCAGAACTGTTGTTGAAAAATTATGACATATTACTATCGGTACAACTGAAAACTTTGATCGCATACACGAAATGTCGACATTTGTATGTGGACACAGTGATAAATATTTATATTTATCGAACCGACGTTATTATTTACAATTATTGTGCGCATTTGAATACCGGATATCGGGAGATAACTGATAAAATATAATATGTACCACCACGGCCACACGTTCGGCGTTGTTGAACCAGTTTTTTCACGAATTATACAATTTAACAAGTGCATTTTATTCATCGCTATATTATATTATTATGGCGTGTTTTAAAGTGGTAAAAGTTTTATTTTGTATTATTTTCGGTTTTAGCCACTCAACGTCGTGTTATAAGTTACCGAAAAACGACGAGAAGTGTCCAGAAGTCAGGGCCAGAAGCAACTGTGATCTAGACGCAGTAAGAACTATATATGTGATATAATATACCTATAAATTCATTACTAATAAATATAGTTATATAAAATAAAAATATCTAAGTACAGTAAGTAGTAATGATTGTAATACTCTTTGAGGCTTTTCAATTTTGTGAATGTGTCTTAGTGTCTATTATAAAAATCATCATTTCATTTATATCTTACTGTAAATCACATAATATAGAATTTGCACGATTTGGTTGGGTATTTATTATTTTGAGGACTTAAAAATATTTTACTATAGTCTTTAGTTATGCCTATACTATGAAATCGATAAAGCATCGATATTAGAGAAGTTAGTGCAATAGAAGAAAAATATTGTTTTTAAATTGAGTTTGTGAAAAGAGAGAGCTGGAGAGTTAAATAACAAGTAAAATAAGTCACAAGTGTCACTACCAGGTACTTCAGTTTGAGAGGGTACACGAGGGACTATGATTGAGCCCTAAATTGAACCCGTTCAGATTTGGTAGCAAATTTATTATTATCCATCTCACACCTGGAGCTTATTTTAGGTCGAAGTATGCTAGTATGGGCCTACTGCCAACCATACTGGTTGAATGGTACCTATACACATTTTAAATTCCAAATGACGTTAGTTACAACAATTAGTTTGTTTTACACAAATTTTTATTTATTTTTTTGTGAATTGTTATTGATGTATCATTTTTATTAAGGAGCCTTGTGCTGGTTTTTCAAATTTTCCGTTATTCTATAAAATTTGAAAATTTTATTTTATACTTTAATTGCTACCTTAATTATAATACTTTTCCACTAATCTACTGCCCGATACCTATTTAGGGGAGGGGGTTGATATAGTGTATTATGTCAAAAATAATGACTTCACATGAATAATTATCAGGCCTTGTAGAATTGTCGGATTTTTAACAACTATTTTCTTATCTGAAATAAAAACACTTTCTACAGGCCACACTAAACTCCGATTTTTTATTTTATTTCAAATAATGGCATAATATAAGTTATAAAAATAGCTTAAAGTTATATTATCATTGAAGACATATTATAAAGTTTGAGATTAAAATATTGAAAAACAGAGTTTAATGCTGCTTGTAGAATATGGCACTCTGATAAAAAATTATCAAATTTGGTTGATTCCACAGAACAGGATAATATTATTCTCATAGAGCTTATTTTTGTGACAAAATTATATTGCACCGGGCGCCATAATATAAAATATAGTCTAATGTCTAGTCGAACATTATTGAAGAAATCGTTTTCTGTTTTGCTTTATAGGTATACTCATAGTTTCAATACGCGTCAGAAGAAACATTGAAAAGATTTAAAAAAATGGGAGCATACTACTTGCGTCCGAAATTATTATCAGTAGGTGAGTTGCGTCCCGCAAAAAAAAGGTTCAAAAAGGTCATAGCCGATTTGCGTCCCAGTACACCTTTTTTTATAACCTAATTGCGTCCCAAAAATATCGATATAATCGATATAAAAATGGAAAAAAAAAAGTATGGAAAAAACTATTCTGAACGAAAACAGTCAGTCAGCCTATGATATTACTGAGTATATTTCAATCCTTAGCTATAAAAGTTGAACGAATATTTTTCAACTTCAGGAGTTCAATTTTCACGCTTTTTTTTAAAATTCAAACTTATAAAATTACAAATTCATATGTTTTATATTTTGTCATGGTAGTAATAATAATAATAATAATAATATAAAAAAATCGTATTTTATTAAATTAACTTATTTAATTTTATGAGTGGTTATTTCACAACTATTGGTCTAATAAGACGAATCGTACTGAATAAAAGAAAAAAATGTGAAAATAAAATGCGAGTAAAAAAAAAATTATCGACGTAATTGCTTTATCTTATCGAATCTAACAACCAACAAGATGTATACATGTTCCCATATCTTTTCACATAAAATAATACCCACTTAAATTATTAATAGAATATACTATCATAGATAAATTGTAAGTAAGTAACGCACGCACTCACACACATGTATACGGTACAGTTTATGAACTATCGATTTTAGTGTCACGACTCACGATACTATCGATTTTAATGATTTTAGAAGATAATATCGATAATAATTATATGGCTGACTTGCGTCCCCAAAACGGGACGCAATTTACCGGTCAAATTTACTACCTGAAAAATATATCTTTTTTTGGGACGCAAGTAACATGCAGCCAAAAAAATATTATCTAGGTATCAAAATTATACCAATACAAGCTGAATACTCGGGATTCACCCGTACTATGCAGTTTTTTGTGGCAACTCCTATGTATAGTATATACGCTAAATAGGTGTATCTCGGTTTGAGTATACCTCAGTTTTAGTGTACTTGACAAATCAGCATCAGTGTACCTATCTTAATAAAATAATTCGACCTAGATGGGTAACCACAAGTCACGGATTGGATTCAACATTTGGTATATTTTTTAACGTGGTTTAAAATTGTTTAATCTCTGAAACATTTGGTGAAATCTCTGAGATTAATTCAATGTAGTAGTTTTTGTGTATATAAGATAAACACATACATTTGATTTTAAGATAATATAGTTTCTTTAATTGATGCCATATAAACGTGAAGATTTCCGATTTGATGCATGTTATTGTACCTGATCTGCCCGAGTAACCAATGGCAACTATTTATATAAGTACCTACAAAACAAAAATAATTAGAAAAACTGCAAAAACTATTTATTGATGTCTGGGATTTCAACTCGATACCGTTGTCTTTATTTACTCTATAGTGTATTATATTATATTGGTTGCTATTGGTTAATCGGGCATGTTTGTTGATTTGTATTATTATTTTTTGTAAATATATCTTATATATAAATGAATGACCTATGGGAAGAAGATACGCTAATTTAAAAATGGTTAAATTTGGTTTTTTTTATTCATCGGATTTTAGTACGGTTAGGTTAGGTTAGGATTTATAGGTAGGTGGAATTAAGTAAAAACGTCAAACTTGGTATAACTTTGGTACTTTTTGAGTTAAATCATACACTTACGTACAAACAGCACGGGGTCCGCGATCTACCGCAGGTAAATTACGTATCTGATAATGTACTGCTGCAATTCAGAATTTTTATTCCGGGCAACAGAAAAGTTAAGATAAATCTAGAACATCATACACCGAATATTAAATAACGCATTGAACAATGTTTGAGTCATATAGAGTTGGTACATTTAACGGGAAACGAAGTGCACGGGATCAGCTAGTATATTATATAACTTTACATACCTTTATATATATAATATATTATATAACTTTACAATTAACATTGTTTAGTGGTTTGTTCTTATAGTATAGTTACGACTTAAGGATAATTTATAATCTATTTAAAATAATTATTACTTTAATTAATTTAATGTTAAATACAATTTTATTTTATGAAGTTTTCGATCAATTATGGTTTAAGGAAAAATATTCACATTTTAAATCGTGTGTTATGATTATTATATAGATATTTAACTTCATATATTTAATATGTAGTAATTTTGTTAAGCTTCATAGTTGGCACGTTTTAAAAAGTATTTGTTAATTTATTTTTATCAATTAATTAATCATTAGTAATAATGTTTATAAATTAATTTTACAATGGGTTGTATTGTAATCACTAATCCTTGTATATATAATATGTAAAAAAGTAAGTAACCAATCTGCTGAACAGTAGATGTCTAGTAATCCTCATTATTGATTAAATCACTGTAATGTGTTTGTTAAATTTGATTTCAATGATAAGTTGATAGACCATTAGATACGAAAAACGATTCTGAGCGAAAACAGTCTGGCAGAGCCTTATTAGTATATATTCTTATGATATATATTTATATATTTTATATTATATTAATTAAAATAAAATTAATTTTACTATCTATAATTCGATAGATTGAATTAATTTTAAGGCGAAGACATTGCATTTATGATATTGTTAACATTTGATTAATATAAGTATTATATTATTTAGTAAATTTATATTTGTATCATAATATATTATGGTTATTAACTTTTGAGTGAATACCGATTTAAGAAGACGTCGTATCCTTACGTATTGTCTCTGCCTTGCTAACGCATTTAATACATCAAAATCTAATTCTAGCAGTTACAATATTTTTTTGTTAGCTTAAATATTAGAGTGAACTGATCTATTATCTAACTACATTATCTGTGTTCTATAGTTGGATTTTTACGTTATTTTAATTATTAATTGAGTTATAAGTACTTACCTCTGTAAAATATTAAATTTGAAAATGTTCATAAAATCACTAAAAAATTAAAATATTGTAATTACAAAGAAGAGAACACAGTTAATGCCCTTATCTTAATGTTAGATACTTAGATAATAGGTCAATTCACTCTAATATGAAATTAAGAATTAATTACTTAAGTTTTGACGTCCTCTTTATGTAGATTGGTGTGAATAGGTTTGTGGTATATTATAATAGGAAATACCATACAATATTCTATTAAATTTTCAAGTATTTTTACCCAACAAATTGTGTTGATATTCATAGAAAACAAACTAAAAAAAATTGAAACTGAAAATGTCCGTAAACAGTTCAAAACAAATCAAAATATTTTAAACCTTTTATCGTGTATAGAAAATGCTAATATAAAAACCAGTGAAAACTGAAGTATGTGACACTACTTACACTTAGAACAAAAATCGATATAAGCGAAAACTAATTTTGCGTAAAAATTCCCGTTTTTCTTAATTTTTTTTTGTTTTCCCCGTGCTTTTGAAAACAACTAGGAACTTTAAATTTCTATCTCCCAAAAGTACCAACTTTTCTATCGGTAAAGATACAGAAGTTGATAAACGAAACATTATTTCAACTACTTATCATGTATATAGACACAAAAAATAAAAAAAATAAAAAAATAAAAGAATCTATAATAAATATACATCATTGTAAAATCAATAAATTAATCGCTCTACTCAAAATCTAAAATAAACAGTTTTAGTTTTCAGCCATTACTCATCAGGATTAATTATTAAAGTATTATAAGTAATACATTAACGTTATAAATTATAATTGGATAATTGACTGATTTTCAATGTAGGTAGTAAGCAATTGAATAATTATTCAAGTAGTTATTACATTATCAAATATCAATTACATTAATCAATGCTATTGTTTTTTCAAAGTATTATTTACACATCTGACACATGCTGTAGCTATTTAATTTTTAAATAACTATTAAATAAATAAATTGTGTGATACACTTTTCTATTTTTTAGAAGTGCAAGTATAAATCTCGCCGATTAAGTTTGAACTTAAGTTTATTGATTACCTAGCTTTTTGACTAACAGGAAGACAAAATAGATTAGAATAATAAATATATGGTATAATACTATATATTATTATAATACCATAATGTATATAGTATATGTTTTAGCACAGGTTTGTTTATGCTCTATCTTAGATATTAAATCAGTGTACGTAATTGCAAATCATTTAAATAATAAAAGTAACTTTTATAAAAAAAAAACTCCCGATTAATACTGAACTTAAAGTATCTATTCAATATTAGGATTTAGCCACTTAGGAGATAGGTTATAATATTAAATTACATTTAAATTACTTAAGAATATTAATTTCATACTCGTTAAAAAGTGCCTTATAAATCGGTTAAAATAACTGTAGGTGGGTATATAGGTACTTTACAAGCAAAAAAAAATTGAATAATATTTTTTGTAGGTATATAATAAATTGTTTTATTCAATATAAATGTATATAAGATAATATAATAATAATATGTGCAAAGGTACATTCATATTTCATAATACATGTGATGTACGTTTGTACCTATATATGTATATCTATAAAATCCGTTATTTGATATTCAAATATTATGTTTATATAGCTGTTACATATAATGTCGTGTGCAGTCAAATGATACATTTTTTTTGTCATCGTTGACATCTTGTATAGTGCACATTGGTGAAAGTGTGGAAGGAGAACTGTGGGAAATTATTCCACTACATATTTTAATTTATATCTTTATCTACCCTTAACTTATTTTTTCCAAAACAATGCATGCCTCAATCAATCTTTTCTAACGAATTGTGATTTTAAATTTTAATGATAACTAATAAATATGCATATGAATTACTTATTATAGGTAAAACAGTTTTTGTAAACAGTTTACATCAGATCTGTTGAATACCTAACGCACTCGATTATTATTACTATAGTCTATTATTACTAAGCATTGTCCTCATGACAAATAGTATGTGCGTGTGATTTACTTGATAATTTACTTTTAATAAAAATTGTTATTACTATACTAATTGCTTAATTAATTAAGTATAATAACTGGAATGTTTTGTGTTGGTATGTGTTATGGTACCGTTGTTTGAAAAATCATTAGTGAGGGTTTGTGAAATTGTACCCCCTCCCTCTCCACTCACACAAACACGACAATACTACCATTACCAATAATTGAATAATATATGTGTAGGGTATAATACGATCATTGCACTTTATTATACCTACATATACTAACCTAACCTAACCTACGTATACTATAGCTATTAGCTATACACCGACTATCGCAGTATCGGGTTGTATATAATACCTATACAGAAAATATGCATCGTTACATTGATATTATGCATTGCATATTATGTAAAAATGTAAATTAATGTTTATTAATATAAATGAAACGTAATTGGATTTTCAGATTAAAGGTCCGTGGAACGTGATCGAGTACTATGCGAGTTCCGAAGAGGTGGAGATCTACAGATGCATGAGGTCGACGTTCAATCTATCGCCGGACACGCCAGAGATTTCCATGGACTTTACGTATAGCTACGCTGACGACCCGGATAACGAGATGCTAACCGGCAACATCACGTGGAATATACCAAGCTTCGAACTTCCCGGTCATTGGGTTCACATGGAAACACCATGTATGGCCCATTATTATATTACATAATTGATAATAATGTACTTTATACGTGCATCATGTGTTTTAACGTAATTTAGTGTTACATAATAATAGTGTATACCTACTACAATTACCTAGTCAAAGTTGATATTTTGTCAAAACATATAAAGTTATATAGTTTAAATTATAGTAGGTACAACCTATATTATAATATAATAACTAATTCTTGTTCTCGTCAAAATATTGACGTCAAAGTAACTTTTAATATTTGCAATCTCAGATGAATTTTGTTTTTAAAAAAGATAAAATTAACTTAAAGAAGACCACTTTGCGATTTTCCAGACGAAGGGGTTTACAACACGTTTGTACTGGACTGTAAGGACACGTGGGCAGTGCTTTTGCACTGCGCTGAGAAACCGTCTAGCCCGCGGTACCTGTCCAGCATCCTATTGTCCAGGAACAGGACGGTGCCGGTTAACGTACGCAGTTACGTACACGACAAACTGCCCAAGTACGGAGTCCAACTCGAGTACACTTTCCCTATGGTGCAGGACGATTGCAGTCCCGCCGTCATCCCGCTGTACTACGGTACAAAAACGGTGGCATCCGGCAACAGGAAGACCGGGGCCGGAAATAACAATGTCAAGCACCCCATGTTGCACAACGACCGTGGCAATAAGCAACAAACCGAAATCGATACAAATTTCAATAATTGATAATGTATATTGTTATCACGAATATCGATTTACTTTAACATATTTTGGTAAAATTAAATTACAAAATCATATACACTGCAGGTGTGTATTATACTCAAACATGATCGATATTATAATTTGATCATTAAATTTATGCCTAGACGTTTGCATGTTATTTATTTATATTTAAAAACGTGCGTTTTGTTGTTTTTTTACAGTTAACCGTCGCGCGTCGTCGGCATAATAATAACAATTAATAATATAATTTACACAGGTCTTACTTTTCAAACTCTTCGTTTCTCCGGGACGAGAATATTTTTACGGCCTCAGTAATCCACTAGCTGCTGTATAATGTAGTTGCATATTTTATTAATAATACAAGGTAGGTATATAGGTTAGGTTAACATCAACGTGCAATTATACATTCTTTCAAATGCAAACACATTATTATTACTTTTAGTTTTCACTAGCTAGCCTAAAAATTTGAATTATTTATGACGTGTGTCTTTTTATTGTAATGAAAATAATTAGACCGTTTGAAACATTATACAAGCTATTTGAATATAATGTAATATAATATACGTATCGTTGGTTCGCATCTAACAACAATGATCATGTCACAGTAACACAAACAATATATTTTATTATGAATATTAGGTATCTCAACATATAAAATACTCTCTTGCATTTTTCTTTTGTACAACCAAGTACTTTTAGACTTTAGGCTTATAATTTGTAGTAGGTAATCTCATATTATTTTATATTATAATGATATATTATCAGTGGCGTAGCCTATGCGTATGCTGTGTATGCACAGCATACACTTCACAAATTGAAAAAATATTTTTTTTTATATTAATAATTTAATATGTTTATAAAAAAATGTTTGATTGTAATTTGTATTAATTTAATATTTTATAATATTATAATATTTTGTATATTTTCTTCTAAGTTCATTAGGATTGATTCATCCGCAACACTACGGCCGCCTCGCGATTTTGTCCGTTATATTTATATCTAATAGTACATGACGTTCATTACGTACGCAGTATGCACGTTGGCGATTGCATACGGGTACAGACATTTTGGACAGCTATTTATATTTCTTATCGATAATATTAATAAACAAACATAGAATTCTGGCGGTCGTGTTTTCGTCACTCGTGTATGCAGAATCAGTAATCAGTATTGCTACGCTATCGCATAGAGCCGTTTGTCGTATATTCTGCCGGCTATAAGTGCGTATTATTAATCGTATATTATAATTTATAAGACATATCGTGTGACATATCGTTTTAAATTAAAACTATTTAAACTAAATAAACAATAATGAATACAAATAATACAATATGTGAGTGTGCAATTGAAAAATTATTTTTAAAGCCTTTCAGTTCACTCAATTTTGATGAAAATTATAATTGAGTTAGAAAGACCCACACCAAAATTATTACCCGATTTAACGACAAAATCAAAAAATTATGTTCGAACATTTAAATATGAGTATTACAGTACATATAAGTGGTTATCGGGTTGTAAAAAAACAAATAATCTATATTGTTGGCCTTGTGTTATTTTTTCTCGCGAAGAAAATGTTTGGACCAAATATGGTTTCAACGATCTTAATAATTTTCATCATTTAAAAAGTCGTCACGAAGCCGCTAAAAATCACATACAATGCTTAGTAGATTTAACTAAATTTGGTAAAATAAGAATAGATACTTGTTTGAGTGAAGCTTTTAGAAAAAATATCGAAAAACATAATATTACAGTTAAAAATAATAGATACATATTAAGCAGTATGATAGATTTAACGTGTTTTTTAGCTCAGCAGGAATTGGCATTTAGAGATTTGGCAAAAAAATCTATGTTTTATGATGAAGTAATCAAAGCTTTCCTTACTAAAAATAGAAGAATTGATTTAATATATAAGTAATTTTGTAGTTAATAAGTTTATTATTTTTAAAAAGTGATTTATTTTTTGTTTATTAAATAGGTATAATATTGTGCTATGTACTAAGGTTATATATATTAAAAATTACGTAAAACTTTGTATGTTTCAAGTTTTATTTTAAGATAAGTGTAGGGGTGTGGAGGGCTATTCCCTCCACGATTTTATTAACTTACAACTTTAATGCATACACTAAGCTGAAAAGCACGCTACGCCACTGTATATTATATTATACTGTTTGAAATCCCGAAATCGAACGAAATATACAGATAATATTATAATTTAGTACCATATTATAGAATAATGAGAAATCTGGCCGATGTATAAAATATTATTCGATCGGTGATTTTATCGGAAAAACGACGGATGTATCTAGGTATACGATATTATAATGATAGTAATTATTTCATACCGAGGACCATGAATGCGCGGCGATCTCGTTTGTTTGATCTGTACACATTATATATACGACGCTAATCAATGGCATGCTAATAACGTACGCGTAAAATGAACTAAACCAGTGCGTATTATAAACTTATATACTTGTACCTACATTATATGTACAACACACATATATAGTACGTGTGGTCCCGACGAGCGTGTGTGTGTGCGTGAGTGTGAGTGTGTGCGTATAATAATATCAATGGATCATTAATACTAGGTTTTTTTTTTATTTTACTTTCCATAACATTTTTTCGTACGCAAATGGCGTGTTGTTATATATACGCGCGCACACCACACGATAGGAGGAAGTAGTTATTCGGTTAGCCCCTGTCGGCGGCGGCGGCTTCCTTTCGCTTCCGACACCACTGAGTGGCGGCTCGCGTACACACTCACTCACTCACACACACACACACATACACGCACACACACACACCACCAACACGTATTATATACATGTATAATACTCTATCCAGTTCCCATAAAACGGGGTTCCACTTACGACGATGACTTATGAGTGTGTGTGTGCCACGGAGAAATAAAAAGTACACAGAGGGGAGGCGATTAAGCCTGGAGCGCGTATAGTGCGCGCGCGCGGGTATATAATATACATACCTAGCTGCTGCTGCCGCCGCTGCAGGTACTTATGTACAACTACAGGTACATAATATATATAGATATCCGAGAAGAAGATAATAAGTAGGTCACGGGGCCGACCTGCCCGGTGGAATGCAGACTGACCGCCCCTCCCGCCCAAGGTGCTTTCCCTCGCTCACCACACCTCCCTCCCAGGACACCCGTCGCTCGTCCGCCAGAGACCCGCCGCGTAGACGGCCGACGGGGACACGTGGGAACCGGCCCGCGAGTCCATTGCCAAAATCGCATTAATCCTGCTTATTATCCCTTTCATTTTGTCATTACACATGAGATTTACACTCGCACACACGAACGTATGTTATATTGCAGTGCCTATGCAGTATATGGACTGGCCCTGCAGCTGATGACTTCTTCCCCCTCCTATATGAGATTTTCGAGATGCTTGTTAAAAACTTACAGGATCTTAGTAGGTAAAAATATCTCAAAACCTTAAGTGTATTTCCGTTAAAAATGTTCGTATGGAGCTGCGAATAATTTTCGATGGAAATAATTAACTGATGCAACTCTTAATATTACCTTCATGGCTACATGGTATAGTTACAAGCCAAACTTTATTGACCAACAAATCTGAATCACACCGCATCAAACCGAAATCAAAAAAAAAAATAAAAGGTTCAAATCAATTTCAAAATAAACTTTATATTATTCACAAAACTCACAGAGTTTGAAATTTGATTTAGTTAGTCATTAGTTATTACTTATAACACCTCAGTTATAAATACGAATGGGAAACATAAATTAGGTACCTACTCTTAAATATTATGTTTTACTCGACGACAATGATTGTTAATCCAATAATGAGAAATGAAAAATAAAAAATAATTTTTTTGAAGTTGATAATAGATAGCATAGGCACACATATATAATATACCTATAGGCCATAAGTATATATTATATAGGGTGATCTATTTAATGTAAGACAAAATTTAACGTTATTTTTTAGAAAACAATTACCTTTCTAAAAATATTTCACTTACATAATTTTAAGTCGTATCAAAATAACATTTTTGGGAAAAATATGATATTTATCCAATATTTTTTGTTATCATTTTTTAAGTTTCTTACATTTTTAAATGACAACATATATTTTTCATTTCATAGGTTATAATCAAAGCAAAATATTATTTGTAGTATTTTGATCTATAAAATCAAATTTCTGACATTTAATTTATTAGTTATAAGTTATAACTTTAAATAGTTTTATCTCATAAGCTATTCGTCCGAAATTCAAACTTTATAGAAGTATCTTAAATAATATTTTGCTTTGGAATGAGGCATTAAATATGCATGAAGACAATAAAAAAAAAAAAAATAATAAATATAAATTTTAAAGAAAAATTTTGTTTTTTAATGATGTTTAAAATTATGTGGAAAATATTATTCCAAAACGTTAATAGTATTGAAATAATGAGTGTCTTTAAATGGATCACCTGGTATATAGGTGATGAACAAACGTGCTCATCCCATCGCAACGGCAATACGGTATGACGATCTGCAAAAAAATCAGATTACGATAGGAAACTAGTTGTGAAAAAAAAGTCGTCGACAGGCAAAATACACACGGTGGCCACTCTGCGTACTTTATTGTATCACCTCTGAACAGCGGACCCCTCCAAATGGCGGACACATTTTCAGCGACCTAGAGGTGTCCGGTATTTAGAGGTTTTACTGTAAGTACCGAATATAATATGTACGATTCGGGGTGTATATAACATGATATAATATAGGTATCGCGACCGGAACTTCGAAATTAGCGGCGGTGGCCAGCGAGGGAGACGATTCGGCGGAGGCTGTACGACGTAAAGAAGCGGTCCATTTGATCGTCGATATGTGGAGGTACATATATTATTATACTCGAAGGAAGGTGCGTTACGCACGAGTCCGCGTTCGAACTACTGCACCTAATAACAAATAACAATATAATAACGCGTGCGATCACCGTATATACCTACCGATATAGCAATAATATAATATCCATGTGTAGTATGTATCATATATATATATTGTTATATTATTATTTATCATCATACGAATATTATTATTGCCGCCGAGTGTGCGGGAGAGAAGGCGAACTCGCAATAATTAAAAACTTTTTTTTTTTGTACTTTTACACAGGTATACTTTACTATTATTATTATTATAACGACGATAATAATTATATCGCTACACGACTGCGTGTTATTATTATTATTATTTTCGGCGTTGTTGTGTATAATAATATTATTATTATCATCATGTATCGTACTTGTATCCGTTCCGTTGCCGGATACGTTAATTAATTAATAAGGGGAAAAGAAAAACGATCGTACGGCGCTGCAGCTCTCAGCCGATCGACGCCAACTTCAGAATATTTAATACCACGGTACGCTTGATGCTGCGCATATATATATAGTATTATAATATTATATATTATTATTATGATTATTATATTATATGGGCACTCTATCGCTGCACACATCGTAATTTTTTTCACACACACGCGCACGTCGTGACTGATAATAACTATTTGCGGGAGGAAACAATAATATAATGTAATAAAATAATGATACATGCAGCACGGACATGACAGTGATAATGATTAAGATACGTGTAACCAGTGGCGTAACTATTGGAGCCAATATTTTGATTTAGAGGGGTGGGAAATTTGATAGCATTTAAAGTGGGGCCAGTAAATTGACTGTGTACAATTTTACCGGTAAGGTATATTTTTTTACCGTTATTCTGAAAACCAAGTGAACAATAAATTTGTGTGTTTTTTTATTTATTATCATAAGATTAGGATTTTATACAAATCGGTAATTTTATACAAAACGAATATGACTAGGGATTACTGATAAGTTATAAGAATATTGTGATTATTTAACACCACTATGCGGTAACCACTACAACATTTTTATTACTTTATATTAATATATTATTATATTCCTTAAAATAATATATAATAGTTAATCAACAGACTGTTAATTTGAATATATTATTAATATATTTATTATAATACAAGACTGACAGTCATTTATTCATAAATGTTATATTAATTGTATTACTTTTTAAAACTACTATAATACCCTATACATATATATTATATACCTATTATATATTTATATGGTTTATGATTTATTATATCCAAATATGATTTTTAGTATATCATTTTATAAATATATATATAACGAAGATTTTCACGGAACAATTAAACCGAGTTATTAAGTTTATTAGTAAATTAAACTTATATCTGCTTTTGAAAGTCGTTTCACTAATTTAGACAAATACAAGACAACATTTGAAACATATTCATCTCCTTTTCATACAGATGTCAATTTGGCCCCAGAATATCTTCAAATGAAACTCATTGACTTACAATGAAATAATGAATTAAAACACATTTTTGAAATATCAAAATCAAAAATAGATTTATATAATATTAATATCACAAAAGAAAAATTTCCCAATTTGGGAAATCTGGCACAAAAAGTTGTGAGTGCTTTTGGATCTTACATGTGTAAATCGTTTTTTTCGAAAATGAAATTCACCAAAGACAAATCACGCTCAAACCTAACAGATGAAAACCTGTAACATCAATTACGGTGTGCAAATACAAGCATTTCTGTTGATTTAAAAAAGCTTAGTGAACGAGTTGAGAAACAAATATCTCACTAAATGGTGAAATCAATAAATTAAGACTTTTATATGTAATACCTATAATATAATATTATCTATGTTAATAAATTATGAGTCATAGTAAAAACAATAATAATTCATTCTGTTTATTTCAAATAATTAATACACCAAAACTTATTTTATAATAATAATTAATTTTGTTTATAATGTTTACTCCATTTTTTTTGTATTGGGGCAAAATACTTTTATAATTTTGAATAATAAAATATTAA